AGCCAGTACTTTTTGCCCATATAATAAATCACTGGCACTTCACACTAATTCTCAAAGTATTATGGATTTTCGGAACACATACGCTGCAAGAAGGGTAAAAACCATGCTTAACCCCAATCTTAGTTTCAAGCGTACTAATATGAAATATTAGATATTTAGGAATTTGAAAATCTTTTATTAAGGTTCACTATCTATGTTACTAGATTTGAATTCATGAATATATTGTATCCTTTTCTATTATTTTAGCTTTTTCCTAGTTGAATTTAGTATCTATAGTCAAACGTAATTCGTTTTCCCCACTATATAGGCATGATTATGGTAAGCATGAATATCTTGGTCGAAAAAATTACACACTTTTGTGATATTATTGCCATCCTAATGGTAAGCATGAATTTCTTGGTTGAAAAAATTACACACTTTTGTGATATTATTGTTATCCTAATTTTGTCTCTCTACCTAATTCTTCTATTCTTCTCTCTCTCCAATAGTTTCTTTGCTAACCCGTACTTCATCCCCTCTATCTAACATATGTAATTCTTATGCTTCTTTTGAAGGAATCCTTCTCTTTTGTTCACATATCACTTCACTCCAATTGAAAAGAGGGGAGAAAAGTTACCATGTTAATTTAAATTTTATTACAAGCAACACTTGACAACAATTTATCAAAATCATTTTTTCAAGTAACAATCTTAGGGTCAAAGACTCAAAGGAAGTGACGTTCAAAAGAAATGTGTTCTCTTTAAACTTCAGTCCTAAGAAGCATACAACCAGACTCAAAAGAGACCTTATTCACATTGCAGTCTAACAAGTTTAAGTTTAAGCAAGAACTTACTTCAGACTAACTATCAACTGTGCATGAGCACATAAGTCTATGACACATCATATAACATTTTTCACATATCAATTGTGCATCAAAATTTTTTTATACTAAACTATCCCATGAGCACAAAAGTCTATAAAACCCATATCAAAACTAATCCAACTTCCTAAGGCACTAGATCAAGTAAAACCAATTTTGCAAAGCATCATTATGCCACAGCATAGAAGTATTATTATAGTAATGAACTGTACAAAACCGCATCCGCATGAAAATTCGAAAACTGCATCGCTATTCGTTAATGTCAGATTAAGAAGAAATCTAATTTAACATATTTAATTACAGAGTTCTTTTTTTTTTCACAAGTCAATGGGATACCTTTATCATCAGGATCTCCAGGCCATTTTCCGGCTGTGTATTTGAACGTCCCTGCCTTTCCTTCGCTCCTTTTCCAGTCAGATAGGACCCAACGACTCTTCCATCCATCTTACACAACAATCAGTATTTAGTAAAGCAGTACACCAAAAGTTTCTCACCAAAATGAGTAATAAAAAGTTCTCATTTCTATTTTCTAGTCTTCTGTAATTCATTTTCCGTTCAATTTTCTTCACAGCCAAACAAAATGGGAATCAGAGCCTTGGCCAAAAATATCCAGCAACATTTTTTTAAGAGAAATTAAACACGAATACTTTCCAGGAAAGGTTCACATCAATCTATAACAAAAAATAATAATAAAAAAAAATACGCGTTAGCATATTTGATACCAGAATAGCAAAAATTTTAGAAAGTAGGCGATTTTCTACATACTCTTCTTTTACCTCCAAATCGCAACTAAAAAAAAATCCGACTTAACTTTACACGAAAAGTGCTAACTTCCATTACTTTCCAATTAATTTTCTTGACAACCAAACAGTATCCAAATGAGAGAAGAAAATCCATTCTATTTCCTCTAAATCAGAATGATGAAATCATGATCAGTTGGTTTGATTTTACCTTCGAATCGCTCCTCAAAGAAAATGTCGGAGATAGCGGAGCGAAAAGTCAGAAGCAGAAACAGAAGCTTCAGAGCTCCGTGAGGAAGAAGAGGCTTAAGCTTTCGCTCCCTCATTTCCTTTCTTTCACTGCCAGATCTCTGCTCCGCAACACTCTGAGTCAACCACCGAGTCAACTCACTCGGAAGCTTGGTCTTTTTTTATATTATTTTATAAATTCTTTCAACTGTTTCGAAATTACAAAACTATTTCTCCTTTGTTTCTTAAATTACAAAATTTACCCATTCTGAGTAGGCTAATACCATCTTCTGTTGTGTGTCCTTTTAGGAAGGTTATAGAACATACTAGAACAAGAACAACTTAGGCCTCGTTCACTTCGCTGATTCGAGTTTAGAATTTGAGTTGAGATGTGACTTTATGTGAAAATTTTTTACTGTAGTAAAAAAGTTAGATGTGATTGTTTGTGAGAGCTTTTTACTGTAGAAAAACTCGAATTCTAAACTTGAATCAACGAAGTGAACGGGGCCTTATTTTGTTTAGTGTCAGAGACTTGAAAAGTGCCTATTGAAACGGTAATTATATAATTCTCTATAAATTATGTATATTTATATGTAAATTATATATATTTATATGTAAATTATGTATATTTATATGTAAAGTCGTGTATATTTAACATGAAATATAATAAATCAGTCAATGTACATATTTTCATGCTATGTGTTAACTAATTACTATAAAAAATACATGTTTTGAGGATTAATATACATTGTCGTTTCTTATAACTTAACATGTAAATATACACGACGTTATATGTAAATATACATAATTTATGCAGAATTATACAACTACCGTTTCGGTCAGACA